ATTTTGCTAGGTCATTAAGCCCCAGGCCGCAGCCCCAGCGCCCGCCGCCCTGGTCGCCGGAAACCCCGGTGGGGACGCGGCCCCCGCAGCCACGGGCACCGCGGCCCCCGCCTCTTCAGCCCCCGCCGGCAGCGAAGACGCGGAGAAAAAAGTTCTCGGTGAGTCAGGCCCGGGCGGGTCGGGGCCGGCCGCCGAGCACGTGTGGCCAGCTCCCGCTACGTGTCCCCACCGGGGCGGCAGAGCTGACGGTAGGGGTCCGCGGGGACTCCGGGTGCCCAGCGCGGGTCGCCGCTCTCCGCCCGCCCTGCAGGCGCCCCCAGGTGAGCGCGCCGCGCCCTTTGCGCCTCGCCCTGTGCGCCTCCCTCGTCGTCCTGGGCCAGCGAGTTGGGGTCTTAACTTCTGTTCCCCAGGCAGGCACTGTCGCACCTTCCCGTGGTGGAGAATGCCCCGGTACGAAGAGGAAAGGAGGGGCGGTCTGGGAGAGGGGACCTAGGGGCAGGGGTGGATGTGCGTGTAGGGGAGGGACAGACACGTGGGCCCTGGACGCAGGAGTCCTCACTTGGGATCCGGATAAGGAGAGCGTTTCCTTTGGGGAAGAGTAAAGCGCTAAAGGAGACGGGCAGGGAAGGGTGGAAAGGCGTCTTGCCGAGGAGGCTCAGGTGTCTGTCCCTGACGCCCTTCCCACATGGGCATGGGAAAGACGCCATGCCTCTGTCGGCCACATGCCGGCAAAGAGGTGTTGCAATCCTCCTCGGGAAACTTGGGTCTTGATCCCACGTCCCCCCTCTCTCTGTGCCCATTGCTGCAAAGAGCCATTCAGTGTCCACCAATCGCTACACGTTTTCCTTTTCCTGGACTGTGGGAACGCACGTGGTGTAGCAGCTGAAGAAACTTCGTCGGAAGTGGGGGTATGACGTTTGTTCAAAACATGGTTACTTTGGCACTTGAAATTTAGGAAGGGAAACAGGAAGATGAGATGTACCGGTTTGGGGGAAAAAGGACTAGAATGGGTTTCAGTGTTGGTTGTTGGTTTTGTCACATGTTAGAGTGTTCCCATCTGTAAGTAACGCCTAGTGCGAGGCCTTAAAACAGGCTTGCAAAGCGGGTGGGTGGTGAATAAGCTCCCTAAAGGGTGTGTGCGCATGTCGTCCACGCTTTTAAACAGGAAAGTTACCAGATGGTGCAGGATGCTTCAGAGAAGTTTTCACTGTTTCGGGTGGGGCGTGTCTGATCTCTCTGAGCTTTGCTTCCCCATTAGGAAAAAAGCTGAGAGAATTAATATGAAGAAAGTATTACACGATTCAATGTTCCCCACCTTGAGAAGACAGTTTTTTTGTTTTCCCAGGGCTTTTACTCGGTTCCTGCCAAATAACATGTTAAATGTTGTAACCTGTGTAGGTTAAAAACATAATAGCTCTCCTTATGCTGGGCTGGACTAAAAGTTGCTTAAATCTAGTCAGTATTGTATTGTGATATTGTTTCCAGCAGGTGTTTCTTGGAACACTTCCATGCGAAATGTCTGAGAGAAACAACCTTGTATTATCCAATGCAGTGTTAATATACATTCTTCAAGATAATTTATTTTTGTAGGAAGGAACTTTTGCAGATTTTCACTTGATCTTTGTGAGATCTTCTGAGATAGGGAAAACAGAGGTTGTCTTTAAAGATGAAGAACACAGATAAATTAGGGTCGTTTTCCTCAATCACCAACTGCTATGTGATGTCTTTAATATTTCTGCTCTTAACTACAAATCTCCCAAAATGAGGGACATCTACATGACACTTCAGTACTGTCTCTGTCCAGTGTGTTCTGCCATCTCCTTTCCTTTGCCAAGGAAACACATGGATGCCTAATATTTGCTATGCACAGTGCAGATTGAAATGGATATGTTCTTGGATTCTCTCATTCTAGATGTTGCAAATGGCCTTAACTTCAGTTTATAGCACACAGGCCAGGGAAAATAGTTTACATGAGTGAAATGAAAGTTTCCTTCTAATGAATATTATGGGATCATTATGATCTTCCGCTGTTCTCTCTTGCCCTTCGTGTATGTGAAGTGGGTTTATGGTTTTAAAGCAAGAAGTGTGAATGAATTAGATTGGCCATATGAAATTTGTGGAAGTATTTGTAGAATTAGGAATTTTCTTTTAAACTGCTGTGGGGAGTAAAAATAACTTTCAGCCTGGGTTGCGGTTAGACTTGAGAATCATTTCTCATCTTTTTTCTTCATTATTAGTGTTGCCTTTCTAATCAAAATTATTCCTTCAACAGTGCTAGACATTAAAAACAGTTCCTATCTCTATATTTTGCTAGGTCATTAATTTCAGGTAAATGAAAGGATGCACAAAAAGCGTATCATTTTGAAAATATTTGTGACTTAAATGCATATAATTTATCAAAAACAGGCCTCTTCTGTGTACATTTACATCTAAAACATCAAGTGTTTTTTTCTCCTTTGCCCTGATGCTCTTAATTAGAATGGCCTCAAACTAAAGATTCTGGTGGTTTGATCTTTCCACTAGGGAGACCTTTCTTGGAATTACAGCTTGAGAATGCCTAGTCAATATGAGCTGAATGACTGTTTGGAGTCATAAAGAGGTTTTTGTTTTGTTTTATTTTACAAAGAGAGGTAAAATACTTCTCCAAGCTTATCAGTAGAGCAAAACTCAGAAATAATCATGCCCTCAACAGAGCAAGTCCTAATTACTATGTTAGTTTTGAATCTAAAAACTGAAGCCTTATTGTTTATCTTTGGAAATTATAAACTTTGTATTTCATAGAAAGGCAACATGGATTAATGTTAATTGTTATTTTCACTTTCTACTAAGCTTTTTTTTTCTTTAAGGTAATCTATTGTCAGATTTCCTATTTCATTGAGTCTTGATAATTGCTTTCTGCATTTCCTGAATTTAGAGATAGGCATTTCTTAGAGGTTTGAATTTGACATTCACAATTGATTCCAAGGATCATGTTTGAAATATTTGAAATGACTGTGAATCTACAAAGTACAAGTTACATGAAGTTGAAATTTAGATTCCCTGCCTTAAAGAATTCTACTAAAACCTGGCATTGTAGAGAAATGGTCCCGCTCATAACAGAAGATAGACAATAATGAAGTTAAAGAGGAGGATTGTATAGAAAATGTTAAGTTTGGTTCCCACCAACTGTAAGAGAGTAGAGTAAACAATGAAATAGAAGCCCAAATTCATCACTGTGGTTTGAAAAGGCTTGTTACATCACGTCTCTGGGCGGAGAGTACAGGACTGCCTTGAGACAGCCTCAGTTCTGTTATTAGTCTTGACTGCTCTCATAGGCCCCCACTTGGCAACTAGACAAGTTACTTTATATCTTTATAGATTGGCTATTAACAAGGAACTACTGTGTCTCTTATTAAAGTTGGCCTAGTATTTCCAAGTGTGAAAGTGATGTGTTCAGGTCTACCTGGACTCTTTCATTGTTCTCTTGTTCATCTACCTGCACTCTTTCACTGTGGCCCTCTTTTGCATTTATAAAATTTTTCTGGATTAAAATTTAGAACATTGATCTTGAAGAGCATTTTTTTCCCCTACCAGTGTTTCTCAATTTTAATTTTTGCAGACTTGTGTAGACTATGACTACTTCTTATCTTATGACTCTAGTGAAAAATTTAATAAGGAAGAAACGTTTAATCTTCTGTAAAGTATTTCCTTATTCCTTGACTTGCTCCATTTTCTTTATTTAGGAATTAAGTTTTAATGGTTTCCTCAGTTATGTTTAGGCTTTGTGTAATGTTATCAAGATCTTAGTGATATGAGCTTTATCTCTTTGTGGGTCAGATACTAATTTATCTGCTTAATCCTATTTTAGCCACCAAAGTCCTTGGCACTGTCAAATGGTTCAACGTCAGAAACGGATATGGATTTATAAATCGGTATGTGTGTGTATATACTGTTTTAAATTTATGTTTATGTTGTGTCACCGGCAGTTAGAAATATGTTATAAATACTCACCATACTTTGTTAATAGCTTGTATCAATTTTAAGTTTTCTAAGAACTGTGTTCTTATTTCTAAGCTATCGTTGTTAAATATTAATTAAAATACGTTTTCCAAAACACTAACAAATAACTTATTTCATGTAATCTAGTCATTAAAATGATAAAGGGAGGGACAGGTATAATAAAATCAGAAATGGAAAGGGCTTTAGGGTAAAGGAGTCCTTATCCATAACTTCACACATGGATAAATGGAATCTTAGACTGGTTAAGCAACTTTCCTAAGGTCACACAACTAGTGAGTGAGTGAGCTGGATCGGTAACACCGGTCTGGTCTAAGTCCTGTGTAGAAACTGTAGTGTTTTTTTTAAACTGTGGTAACTTCTAACCATATAGGAATGAGAACACAAATGCAAGTTGTTGGAAGTATTAGGATGTTTTTACATGATTTTATCATTTCCCCCCTTCTTAAAGAAAACTGTACAATTTTTTCCTTGTCTGTTTTGGTGGGATGGGTGTTGGGGGGGGTTAGGGTAGGGTGGGGTGGGGGGAGGGCTGTTTTAAGTTTCAGTGTAAGGAGAGCCTAGTTCACAGCTGTGCCCTGTCCTTTTAACTGTCTTGCTTTGCTTTTGCTGGGAAGGAAACTCTAGGGCTCTGATTACACACGATGTGATTTAGAAAGAGACAAGAGGGAAGGGATGTTTCTGTATGTTGAATCTGTGCTCTTGGATCTAAGCACTGTTGTAATGTGGAGGAGTAAGGTGGGTATCTGAAGTTCTTAATGAGGATTGATTCTAGGTGTCTGAGTTGAGTTTAAAAGTAAACAAAAATTTATGTTGTATTTTGAGGTCTTGGGATCTGAATTCATAAAACATCTGTTAAGTTTTTCCAACTACCTAATACCTTTAATTGTGAGTTTTTTGTCTTCCAACAGAAATGACACCAAAGAAGATGTATTTGTACATCAGGTAAGAGGGATTTATAAATGTTACATTTGCTTTGTGAAGAAGGGTGTCTGTAATCTGCTGTTGTCCCTTTCCCAAAAGTAAGTCCTATAGATTACTTTTGTGCTTTAAACTCTTCCTGTGACTTATTTTGGGATGAGAGCTCAATTCCATATTTCAATATTGGCAGATAAGTTCTTCTGTCCCATCATATTAACTGTTTTCAAAGCATTTTATTTTTATAGTTGAGTGATGTAATATTCAGTTAGACCGTTTTCTGATTTTTAAAGCCTTTGAGTCCTTAGCAAAAAACCCTTCTGTTTCCATGTTAGCATCCTATTCTCTGACGTTGTGATTCCTCCTTGGCATTTAGCTGGAACCACTCTGGCTTTTGCCTGGATGGGTATTGGTTAAAGCTCCTCTCAGAGCAGCTCTAACTTGGAGTAAATAGCACAGAGAGACAGATGGTTAGGGTGTGTATATCCAAGACATGAGAAAACTTCCAATGCCCAGGATAGTCCTCACTGCTGTTAAAATGCGGCGTAATTAGCACATGTCCAGGTCAAAAGACCCACATTCCCTAATATTTGAAGGAAATGTAGAAAATGGGTAGGATATAGAAAATAGGCTTCTCTACTACAGGGATGGATCTCAGTCTTTTTTACATTGTTAGCCTAGGATGATATGTATTCTGTTATTATGTATCCTGGACTTGCTTTACAGAGTAGGTTAAGAGAAGGAATACCTATCCTTACTGTTCTTTTTGTGTATTTAGTTGTCAGTCAGTTGTCTGAAATATGTGTGTCATTCTTAGCATATAACAAGGAAAGTTTAGCGGCAGGTACTAAGGCCAGCATTTTTACCTGCAAGGCTCTGTCAGGCATCTGGTTTTCTGTGTTTGTTTCCTTCTGTTCAGGTTTATGGGGTGAGATGTGGGGGCTGGAAATAGTGATAGCTAAGAAGTAGCTCTCTAGTTGTGGTTTCAATCATTTGTATTGCTTGACTGGATATATTCCAGTTATACCTAGATAATTTGAGCAGATTTTTTTCTTCAGATACAGTGACTTTTTTTCTTTTTCTTTTCTTTTTTTTTTTTTTTGGCAGCTGGCTGGTACAGGGATCAAACCCTGGACCTTGGTGTTACCCAGCACCATGCTCTAACCAATTGAGCTAAAGCAGCCAGCCTAAATACAGTGACTTTTTAAATCATAACAGACTGCCAGGAATGGTTGCTTATAATACCTGGAAGTTAATAGACCTTTTCGGGGTAAGAACTCTGTTTGGTGACTGCTGGAGTAAAGGACCTCACAAGTTTTCATACTAGTAGCCAGCTTTATTAGTGAGTGTATGACCTGGTTCCAGTCCCCATGAGTCTGTGCGGTGAGTCACCTCGATGTGTTGAGGCCTGCCCAGTTTAACAGGAAAAAGGGAATGAGCCGGCAGGGAGGGGCTGTTTTTGGAATGGCTGAATGTTCATGCTGCGTGTGCATGTATCCTGTCCTAGACTGCCTTTTTTCCTCTGTGGGTGAAGTCTCTGCCCTATTGGCTCACATTTTTTTTCTCCCTCCTACTCATTGTAGGGGAAGGGCTGGATTACACATGCCTAATCGCTTTATGAAATAAGGTTGACCTAGTTCTGTGGAAACTCAGAGCCCCTTTAACTGTTTAGAGTTACCAGCCAAGGCAATGGAAATTTATTACAGGATAATTCTCTGCCTTCTACTGATTGAAAAAGAGGGAAAGGCCTGTTCTTCAGCAGATACTTTATGCAGACGTTTAATGTAAAATAGCATCTTCGTTAACTTTTTAAAATGTTGAAATCCCCGTATGGGGATATAAATTCCCTCTCCTTCTGTATTCCCATCATCCCCAGGGTTGTCGTCTTTGGGACCTCAAATAAATCAACTGTCAGCCTCATGTGTCCTCATCCATAAAATGGTGGGAGCAGGGTGGGGGTGAGGACAAATTATCACTAATATTAGTTTTGATTCCTAACGTAATTTTGTTTACTCTATCAGAAATATTTATCCTCTTGGAGTTTTTTTTATTCCTTTTTTCTTTTCTTCATCATCCCTTCCTTGTCCCCATGTACACACTTTTGTTGTTGTTGTTGTTGTTTTGGTAGCTGGCTAGTATGGGGATTTGAACCCTTGACGCTGGCATTATAATACCACACTCTAATCTACCGAGCTATCCAGCCAGCCCTGCGTACACATTTTAAAAATTCCTTTTGAAGTTAGCAGTTTTTCTTGTCTACAGAAACCTCTGTGCCTGAAATATGTGTTTGTGAGTGTAAGAACTCATGAAAGTATTCATCCCCCTTGCTGAGTCTGAATCTCAGAAGTTGAACGGTTCGAAATAACTAACATATACAATATCATGACTGGGTGATCAGGCTATACCAGAAATATGAAGTAACTACACATTTTTGTTTTATTCACCTATCAAGATGAATTTTGAAGAATAGCACAAATCAAGAAAGTAATGTGCTTTTATAGTGTTTTTTGTTCATTTGTTTAATTTTGTTGCTGTTATTTTTAGAGATCAAGGTCAGTGGAAGAATGTTAATTTTTAAAAGTAGTAAGTAATAGGTCAACAGTTTCTTCAGGGTCACTCTAGTAAACTTGAAAGCGATGAAATATATGGTCAATATTGAAATGTACCTCAAATAAAAATTTCTGTTCTCCTGTCAGACTGCCATCAAGAAGAATAACCCTCGGAAATACCTGCGCAGTGTAGGAGATGGAGAAACTGTAGAGTTTGATGTGGTTGAAGGAGAGAAGGTAAGAGAAAGTTGTGGTTGGGTATCAAAGTGTGCTGGCACATAGTTTTGTTGCACAATAAATGAACTCTCAGCCTCTTATGAATTAACATTATTTTGTATTTTTTTGTATGACAGGAGGAAGTGACATTTAAACAGAAATACTTTTGATTATTTAATGTCATTAAAAACATGCTTCAGTATATTAAAACAGGCATTTTAATTTCCTATTTAATAAGTGATGGACTCTAATTGTGGAAGGAAAAGCCAATTTTTCAAAATTAAAAAGACCTGTTTTATTTTGGTACCAAATGTATTTAAATGTAGATTAAAATCTAACTTTTCATGACATTAAAAATAGATAAAAGCTGCTTTGGGGCAAAAGATTTCTTTTTATCAGTATAAAGTTTTCAGATTATGATTTGTAAGCACTTCTTTTTTTTTTTTTTTTGTCCTTTTTGAGACCGGCTGCGCCACACCGCACTCAGCCAGTGAGCGCTGTGAGCGCACCAGTCATCCCCATATAGGATCCGAACCCGCGGCGGGAGCGCTGCTGCACTCCCAGCGCCGCATTCTCCCGAGTGCACCACGGGCTCGGCCCATGATTTGTAAACACTTCTGATTACAAATAGTATATAGGAAAGAATATTTTAAAATTCAAATTAATTATAATCATTGTGTTTTCTCTCTTGGGCTTGGATTTTGAAGAGCTGAAGACATCTTGATAGATTGTATAACAGCTTTTTTAACATTAATTCAACCCGAGAAGCTGATGAATCATCTTGAAAAATATCCACAGAATTTTTTCTGCTGTTATATATTTAATCTCAATCTTAGTAATGTCTTTTGTGCTTAGCTTTTAATTAAGTCTATTACAGATATCAGTAAAACAATATTGACCAAGATAAAAAACATTTTAAAACTGCATTTGGTACAATTGCAATGGCAGTTGTACAGACTTTGCTAATCCTGGCAGCTGGATTATAACCTGAGGGAATGACTGAACTCCCATGCACGTGTTCTTCCCACATACGTGCACACCATTCCACATTCCATATTTTTTTTTTTTTCCTTTTTGTCTTTTTCTACTGACCAGTAACGGGATCACAACCCTCGGTGTCACGCCGTACTGGGGACCGGCAATGGGATCGCAATCCTCGGTGTTGCACCCACACCATGCTCAGCCAGTGAGCGGGAACCAGTCTCCACATGGGATCCGAACCCTCAGTGGGAGCGCCGCCGCACTCCCAAGCAGCGCACTCTCCAGTGCGCCACCGGGCCGGCCCCACATTCCATATTTTTAGTGGCTCTCAAACTGTTCAGTTTTAAGAGAAAAACACTTTATTTCTTATGATATAGAAATTGAAGTGTTTTTCTTTACCAGTCTGATCCCCAGGGTATCTTTAAATCTCTTGGAGTTTCACATCATCCACCATCAAATGCTGGCCTGTAATGATCTTTGATATCCTGTCTAATTCTTAAAATTTTTGCCAGGTTGATTTTACTTTTGCATTGTTTCAGAACCTGAGGTTTTACAGATTGATGTAGGATTTGAAGTATACTCTCTTTAATCTCCTTTGTCTTAACTTTTGAAGCATTATTTTATCCATTTGTTCATATGAGAATAAGAGCTCTAAATTAGTTTCAAGAATAATAGGAAGGTCTAAAGAGGGACTACATGTGTGGAGATGAAATCAAGGACCCTTACTTCTTGTTGCTGCCAACATAGGAGAAGTTTCACTCAATAACTCAGCGATGGACAAAGTCAGTTGAGCCCATAAAAAGGGATTCTCTTGGTACCTTTTAGAGAAACATAAATTTCGACACATTCTATGAAGATAACATTACTCAGTTTTTTTCTGTTGAGGAATATTCGTCCTGGTCTAGCATTACTTCTACTTTTACAGTTGTGTTATATTTACTTTAAAGTGGTCATATTGCTCTTGAACTTGACATGGCTAGACAAGAAGGCAAAGCTTAAATTATATGAGCAAACAAGGCACATACATTTAAATCAAGACATCACGGACCAGCCCGTGGCTCACTCAGGAGAGTGTGGTGCTGATAACACCAAGGCCACGGGTTTGGATCCCATATGGGGATGGCTGGTTTGCTCACTTGGGAGAGTGTGGTGCTGACAACACCAAGCCAAGGGTTAAGATCCCCTTACCGGTCATCTTAAAAAAATAAATAAATAAATCAGGACATCAGACACTGTGCTAAAACTTGGGTCTATTTTTGAGATTACAGTAAGAATTCCTAGTCCGTTCTGACAGTCTTATACAGTTGGCCCTCTGTGTCTGTGGGTTCCGCATCCGTGGATTCAACCAATTGTGGATGAGAAATATTTGACAAAAAAAAAAGGATGATTGCGTCTATACTAAACATGTACAGACTTTGGGGGGGGGGGGGTTCCTGGAACTAACCCCACATGGATACGGAGGGAGTCTGTACTTAAGCTGTTCAAGGCTTTTGCGGGGGGTTAGTTTGGCTTTTATTTTTGTTAACTTTGAGGCTGCCTTTATTTTCTTTCTCAGGGTGCAGAGGCAGCCAATGTGACTGGCCCAGATGGAGTTCCTGTAGAAGGGAGTCGTTACGCTGCTGATCGGCGCCGTTACAGACGTGGCTACTATGGCAGACGCCGGGGACCTCCCCGCAATGTACGTTGTCTCTGTTATTAATCAGTGATGATTGAAAAACTTTTTGCAAAAAACTTTAAAATTAAGTGTATGTACTTGGAGCAGATAAATGCCATACAGGACAAGTGATTTGGGGGGGGGGGGGGGGGGGGGATTTTTAGTGCCCAGAATTTATCCATAGCCACTGGTCTCATTAGAAACTTACTGTTCAGAAGTTGCATCAGTTAAGATGTATTTGGCTACAAGTAACAGACATTCAAATATCTTGTAACAAAAGAATTAAGGCAGACAGTGCCAAGGTTGTCAAAGAGGCTTTCTCTTCATTTAGCCCTTTTATCTGGCCAAAACCTAGTCATGTGACATTCACTGGCAAAGGGGAATGGGATTTCTGTCACTGATTTAAACCTGATGTTCATTCTTTGGTACTGACACGTTGACCTCTAAGAAAATCAGCATTTGGCTGGCGAGAAAGAACGAGGAGTAGCTTGTGAATAACACAAAAAGTTATGGCTGCAGAAGTGTTAAATAATTTACGTCAGTTAAGTAGCTACTTTATTTAGCATAGCATTTTCCCATTATTTCAAACTGAAGAAGCAGTAAGTCTCTGGATTTTTAGTTCTTCAGATTAGTCCCTATCTATATAAGCAAATCTGGCTGGAGCTTTCTTAGGAGGCTCAATTTAAAGAAATATTGTCAAGGCACCCAAAGTAAACACAGTTCAACTGTGGTCATGAGAACCCTATTAGAACTGAATCAGTTTTTGATAATTCTAGAATAAGACCCAAGGATGGGCACCAGGGAATAAAACTCAGGATGCTTTGTGAGCAAAG